TATTAAGGAACCAGCAGATCAAGTAGCTTTTGGAATAAAACACCAATTTTTTTAAAATTAAACACTATCTAAAGATTTGCATCGAAGCGTTTATTTTTGATAGTGATTTTAATCACTGTCAGATATCATTATACTTGATCCAACTATACCACGTCACAACTGTGCCGCGACCCCCCTGTACTGGGTTTTTTTTTACTGTTTTTATTTTGATACCTAAAATGCTATATTTTGTTTTTACTTATTAATAAAAAAAAAACTGTGAAATAATCTAAGTAAATAAATTTTAAAAGTCATTTACAAAAAAATGAAATGTTGATTGAATAACAAAAAAAAAAAAAGTATTTTATTGCTGTGATGCTTTCTTATTGCCATAATGCTTTAAAATATTAGCCATTATTTTGTTAAATGTTCTTTCGTGTTCAGGTATTATGATTTGGCCAGACATAGCATCTAAAAAATAAAAAATAAACAATAAACATTTTTATCCCATGATANAAATAAACAATAAACATTTTTATCCCATGATATTTTAACTGCTATTTAGAAAAGAATAAAAATACTAGTTGTACTATGATATAACCAGTATTTTTTCACAGCAATAAAAAGAAGTAAGTCTGTTTAGGATTTACACCAACAATATTCATATTGTTTGAAATATTATGGCTTATTCAATGACAGCATTTTAACCAACATAGCGTGATATGTACACACGACACCCCAAAATCATTCAAGTTTTTCTATGAAAAATGTAGTATAAATTAAAAAGTTATTTTTTCTTTGTAGTTTCAAAATTAGTCTTCCAGACTTAGTTTGATTTACTAAGGCGCTACCAATATATTAACATATTCAATTTGCATTTTTATTACAGTTTAATGTTCATACCACGAATTACCTAAAAAATGTGAAGCTTATTAAAAGCTTGTTTGGTGTTGTCACAAAAACTAAAATTTGCGGCCATTTCTCTTGTCATACAAAAATCAAATGCTGTTCTCGTATATGCACTGAAACTTTTAATGGTACCCACTTTAAGCAACAAAACATTTTTCTGGAAAGAAAAAAAAACAATAACTCATCAATTATAATAAATTAAATTATATATATATATATATTTATAAAAATAATAATATTATTATTATTATTTTTATGAATATACAATGTTACAATTATAGATCAATCATTATTAAAATAGTTGGTATCTTACCAGTATTAATATAGGCTCTAGTAATTGTATCCCAAATAATATAAATAAGAAGGGAAGATAAGAATACTTCAATAGAACAACCTTTCAAGTTAAATAAAACATGCTCCCAAAGAATAATTTTATTTAAAATAATATACCTATAAAAAATTAATAAATTATATAAAAATAATTAACAACTATGCTTTGGGTATAAAAATTTTTATAATTTACTATTATATAATAGTAAATATATTATATTTATTATTTTTTATTATTTTAAATAAAAATATTTTAATACAATAAAGTATAAAGTTTTAAAGTTATTTCATAAATGTCAATAGATATTTATTCAGATTTCTGGAGAAGAAAGAATATAGGGAGTTCAAATATTTTTGTGTAAATGATAAATTATTATTAGTTATTGCACTTCCGGTTAATATGAACTCAATGTTCAAAAATGTTTATTGAGTTATATCAATTTACTATTAAATGCCAACACATAAAGTTCATTTAATAAACTATATAGAAATTAACTTTTTAGTGTTACAGTATTCAAATGTTTGATCAAGTACATGACTATGCTTTGTAAAATATTTATTATACTTATTTAAAAGACACATATTTTAAATACTGGAAATTAAAAAAGCATGATATCTATCAACAATGATTTATTGTAACTATTTGATATAGTGAAGTAAACTTGACATGATATTTCATAAGAAGTATTTTATTTTTGTTATTATTTAAGTTATAAAATAATTGTGTTTTGGATATTGGGTATTTTAGACAACCTAGGTATATAGATTTGTTTTTTGTTTAAGGGAAACTACTGTGAATAGTTTTATTTATATCTTAAAATTACTTAGGATACATGTAAGCCTGTCCTTCATAGATTAAAATGTGCCCTTTATTGGTTGATTTGTATAAAAATCTTGTTAATTTAATAGTATAAAGGTTACAAATAATTACAAAAATGAGCCAAATGTAAAACCCTGTTAATTGTTTAACGGTGAAATCTTAAACTTAATACTTTTCATTTATTTAAAATTTGAAGTATTGAAATATAATTCTCATTCAAATAGATGCAATTCTTTTTAACCTAAAATGTTTGAAAATTTTAAATTATTGAGTAGCACAATGGAGGGATTTTCATTAAAAATCAAAAAATTAAGTGAATAAAATTATTTGAATGGCTATAACCGTTATAACGATTCTTTCATTATAATTCATATAAGTTTATGAACACTTGGCTTTTTCATCACTTATAACCAAAAAGTGGTTCCACACTTTTCTACTAATATAGTTAACACAAGGGAGCAGCTCAATCGTTATAACGGTTATATCCATTCAAATAATTGTTATTAGACATATTATCCCTTGATTAGTACATTAATAAAAAAACTTTAAAATAATAGTTATAAAATATTTTCATTGAGACTATAGCGCGAATTTAACTATGAACTTTTGGCGGAATAACCAGACATATCAGTAACTGTTGACCAACAGTTTTTATTTGTTTTACCATTGTCTACCATTAAAAATTTTAGTGCATATACGAGAACAGTATTTGATATATTGAAATGTCCGAAAACTTGATTTCTAGGAGATATCGGGCATTAAAAAGTCAAAAATCATACAATTAATGGTAAAAATTGCCGATTTTGGAGTATTTTGCATAGCAATTCAACATCTACATTTTCATTCAAAACAAAATTAATTAATAGATTATTTAATGTACTATACAAAATGTAATTTTTTGGTGGTTATAATAAATACTGCATTTATAATACTATGTTTATAAATAAGAAAATATATGTATTACTATTTATATCAAATGATTTTTTTTTCATAGGTTTACTATTTAATAATAATAAATAATATATCTATATTACCCATATTAAATTAATATGGGCATGTCGACGAATTATCAATGGTGATTCTTTTCTTTCATTTTAATCATCTTACAATTTGATACTTGTCTATTTTTTAATAATTTTGAAATACTTTTCATAATTTAATTATGAGATCGGGTTGTAAACAACGTTTTGTTGTCTGGAAGCATTTAAAAAAAATACTGATAATAAAACAGTTACGAGTTAAGTATGTTAATTAAAATATTTTAAATATTACGAAAACACAACATAAAAAATAAGTACTTAAAAATTATATTATTTATAACCTTACAACAAGGGTTTCAGAAACCTCCATATAATAATAAAATAATTCCATATTATGGAATTATTTATTTTTATCTTTTTAAAATTATTTTAGAGCATCATAATTCGGAGGATATTTTATATTTCAATAAATTGTATTTTTAAGTTTAAATGTAAAATCAACGTTTGATGGTATATTGTATACAAATTTGTAAAATACTATTAATATTTTATTTTAAATGCATAAATAGTTGTATTTTAATGTAGTAAATTAGGTATTTAATTAAAATTAAAAAAAATAATAATTAAACGATTAAAAAATAAATAAAACATCTTATTTATATTTCTTTGCTTATACCTATTTGAATAATTTGGTTATAAGTTATAAATGTATTTAATGCAATCGAAATATACTCAAAATTATTAAAAATAATCGATTATTTTTATCAAACGAATAAATGATACTAATTTTGAGTAAAATTTTAAGAGATTCTCTCCATAGACAGGTAAACTCGATCGATTATTTCGATTACTAATAATTCGGAATATGTCCATCACTAATTTAAAATATATGAATGGATACGATCAGCAGTTTTAAAATTGGTGGTATACGTTTTTTAGTTAATTAAAAAACCAAGAGATAGCGCTAGCTTTCCATCACTGTAAGAAGAGGGCAGTCTATTCAACGGTTGGCCAAATAGACTGTTACTGTAGGTCGTAGTTACACAATCCCGAACAAGTAAAAACTACTCAAGTACTCTTTAGCCACTACTGTAATAATTTGGGAATCAACTGTATTTTGTACCGACGGAACGACAGTGTAACGACAGGTGTAATCGGTCCTACTCGTTCCACCAATGTACTCGTTTCTTTGGACCGATTACACGAATACCGACCCATCACTNGTTACTGTAGGTCGTAGTTACACAATCCCGAACAAGTAAAAACTACTCAAATACTCTTTAGCCACTACTGTAATAATTTGGGAATCAACTGTATTTTGTACCGACGGAACGACAGGTGTAATCGGTCCTACTCGTTCCACCAATGTACTCGTTTCTTTGGACCGATTACACGAATACCGACCCATCACTACTGTTGGGTACTGTTAGCGCTGTGCGCATGACACGCTCAAACAGGTTTACCTTATGAATAGCGCACGGTCGTTTACAAATATTCTGATCATTCGATCAACAGAATGCTTTAATGGTTGAAGCGTTCATCCGTAAGTCACTTTCGGTCGTTAAATTTGTTTTTAATGGAGCGCAACGTTATTCATTTTTTTAAAATGAAACGTTCATCATTAATTTATCCATTGTTTGGATAAACTAACGTTCCTTTGCATAGGGCTCGAATGTCACATCAATAATAAAGAGTTCATAATACATAATTTTAATCATTTGGCGATTGACGAAGAACCCGTCGATACAGAAAATCAATCTACTGAAACTCAGGTCAGATAAAAATTGTTTTTTTAGTACATTTTCACTAATTTAATAATGTTGTTGTAATAGTTATTGTTAATTATTCACTGTACACATATTTGTTTTAATGTTAAGTTTACTAACATAAATGTAAGAATTAATTGTCTTTTCTATTAAATTTAGTTTACTGATAAAAAGCCCAAAAGAGACATACAATCCATAAAATTTTATTTGAATTTTTCTTTACTAAGTTTCAATATTAATTTATTAATATTACTTATTTTACCTAAAGAACCAACAAATACGAGATTTAACTCTGAGAGTAATCATCCTAGTAGTCTCGTCATAAATTTTGGTTCATTCAGGACGGGATTTTTAAAATTATTATTTTAATCTGATTAAAGTAATTTCAAAAAAAAATAATTGACAATGCCAAACATTAAAAACGTAAATATTATACCAGAGCTATACATAGTGGCTCGTTTAGGAATATAAGCGCTCTAATGGAACAGAGGTAGCGAAAATACTTTATTTTTTCATGTCAAATGTATTATAAGTTTGGGTACTAGGATTTAATGTTTTCCCAATCTTCGAGGGGTTTAGTGTATATTTTTTTGTCATTTAATTAATTCTGTACAAAATCAATTAAATAACAGAGTAATAATTCTTGAATTAAAAAAAAATTAAAAACCTGAAACGATATGTTTTTTTATGATGTCCAAATATGTGGATAAATTTATATTTTTAACAATATTTTTGTGGTGTTTGTTAATATAATTCCATATACAAATGGCAAATACTTGAAATTTTTGAAAAAAAATTATTTCTTTATCTGGATATAAACTGTTCAAATCCAGTTCAATCTGAAAAGTTAAATGACCTAAATTAAAATTATTAATTATTTATTAATGATAAAATAAAGAAAAATAGTTCTTTGAATTCTTTTTAGTAGTCTTGCTAAATGAGTATTGTGTTGTTGAACTAATAAAAGCGAGAGTTAATAATAATAGTTTTTAGTTTTAATAATTATATTAATACATCTTATTTAAAAGGTTTAAGAGTATTTATATTTGTGATTTGCACTTTAATAAGTATACATTTACTCTACATGCTCTGTATTTTTTACTTTTTAAAGTTCAATTAATCATACTCATGATTAAATGACAATGTTATATTCTTTTACTTTTTAATTTTCTGATATTTATTGACTACCAAATTAATGTCTAAAATTAAAATTGAAAACAATGTAACTGATCCAAAAATACTAACCAACTGAAGTCCATTAACATTATTGAATGATGGATATTCAGAAAAGAATGAAATGCTTTTATTGCTTTCCCTTAATTTTTGTTGCCTATAACTACTTGTTTTTCTCCAATTATCTATAACTGTACTTATAGGTTCAGAATTATTTTTGAGCCAGAGTATCATATCTAAAACTAATTTAATTTGGTTAAGATAAAAATGAGCTCCAAAAAAATACCACAGTCAGAAATATTAATTTTTAACTATTATTTTCATCTCCACAATATTTCTGGATTATTGTAACATTTTTTTTTTCAGTTTTACTATACAGTTGTCTGATTGCTTTTCGTATGTTGCTGTATCGATCCCATAATTTACCCCTAGTCAGTTTAACTAAATTACCAATTTTTTGGTATGATGAATAGTCAACAATTGTTGACTCGATTGGAAAACAGTTGACAATATCAACTGAAAGTTGTTGAAGTTGAGCAGTAGTTAGTGTATGATTGTTCNCCATAATTTACCCCTAGTCAGTTTAACTAAATTACCAATTTTTTGGTATGATGAATAGTCAACAATAATTGTTGACTCGATTGGAAAACAGTTGACAATATCAACTGAAAGTTGTTGAAGTTGAGCAGTAGTTAGTGTATGATTGTTCTTTCCTTCAT